CACCCCTACGTGGGGCCAATAGAGCCAACCTATCTGTACACCCCTAAGTGGGACCAATAGAGCCAACCTATCTGTGCACCCCTAAGTGGGGCCAATAGAGCCAACCTATCTGTACACCCCTAAATGGGGCCAATAGAGCCAACCTATCTGTACACCCCTAAGTGGGGCCAATAGAGCCAACCTATCTGTACACCCCATAAGTGGGGCCAATAGAGCCAACCTATCAGTACACCCCTAAGTGGGGCCAATGGAGCCAACCTATCAGTACACCCCCAAGTGGGGCCAATAGAGCCAACCTATCAGTACACCCCTAAGTGGGGCCAATGGAGCCAACCTATCAGTACACCCCTAAGTGGGGCCAATGGAGCCAACCTATCAGTACACCCCCAAGTGGGGCCAAAAGAGCCAACCTTTCTGTCATCTCATTAAGTTTATACCGAGACAGATTTTACCTAACCTGGACTCCGAGGCAGACTTTGCCTAAAATAGGCATCACAAAATGGCAAGGGAAGTAAAGGTGGCCAGCATTATGTTGACATTAGCCACTTGGACTGGTCTATAAAAATACAGGTCTAGCACCATATGCCCAACACACTTATGGTGTGACAAGGGTGTTTTCTGTAATTGGCCAGTTTTTGTAACATGTGTGGTACTGCAAAAGAGAACCTGTTGAAACTACAGTGTCAATAAAATCAAATACTGATGCTATTTCCCAAAAAGAGTGATAAAAACTTAACTGTCTGAGACCCAGAGAGTTAAATGTTGAATTAGGAATCAATATCATAGCATTCAGGCCACTCCCATAAGCACTCAATTCCCATCTTCAGCAGCAAAGGAAAAGCAAGCGAAGAGTTCCATTTCCTATAGCACCAGAAATTGTCTGATTGTATATCCGTCTCACCTTTTCTTTAAGTGCTGAGCGTCAGCCAGATCCCCTAGTAACTCCTCCCAGCACCACTATCCTCAGACTGCAATGATCTATCTGTGCCTCCTTACTCTTCACTCGCTCCCAAAGGGACCTCACAACACCCAGAGAGATATTACTTAAACTCATCATTTCAGAAAACTGTTACTTCAACAGATGTTTGGGTCCGACAAAATAATAACATCATGAGGCAGAAACATTAGATTAACAAGTGATGCAGAGTGAGTTAATATATCAAAAGCATGAGACACAATGAGATAAGAAATGTATATAATATAAACACAAATCAATAAACACATGATGCATTGCTTAGTACTGAAAGAGTAGTACTGTTAAGTTTTAGATTGTCAGTGAGTTCTTTGATCCAGCTTCTTCTAGATATCTCTCTCTCTGTTTCTTGTTGTTTCCATTTTCATACTGTACATTCTCACTGCCTGCACTGCTGGATTTGCTCTCACTAGGTGGCCAAATCATTTCAGGCTGTTTCCCATTGAATTTAACAGTAGGTAGTGCTCCAGTTGTTTTTATGATGTCTTCATTTTTCACAAGTTCTCTTCTGTTCATAGCCTTTCTCAAGCATCTCATTTCACAGGTGTCAGATATATCTCTTGTTAAATCCAAGTCTGATAATGGCAACTTAAAAGTTGGAACAAAGATTGCATTTATAATTTGTCTTTTCATGTCTGTTGCAATAGCCAGTGTTGCAAGGTTGGGAGCCAGTCAATACGTAAAGCTGTTGGATTATAAAGTACAAACTCAAAAATTTCTCAAATTTACTTTACACAATTACTGACCATAAAATGTTATGGAAGTGATATACTTAACTAAACCAGTGACCTGGAACCTCTCTACAGTATGTAGACAACATATGGGAAGCAACAATTCAGTATTTTCTGGTGCCTGTCCACATGGGCAGGGTTCTGAGTATCTATTATTACATTTCTTGCAGGATATAAAATAAATTAAAGAAAAGGACCCTTTTCATGTTACTGAAGCATAAGATGTTAGACTCATACTTTACAGACCAATCGGTACTCGGCGGGTGATGTAGTCAACATTGTTAGCCATCTTTACATCCCAATGTAGCTTTGGTACTCATTTTAGGCTGTGTTCCAGGCAGCCAAGGTCAATTTCGCTAGCGGATCCAGTCGTGGGGAGTTGGACTTTTTTTAAAACATGACCTTGGCTGCCAGGTTGACTCAGCCTCAAATGGATACCAGGCAAAGTCCTGAGAAATGTGGACCACTCTACCCACCGAGGGCCAACTGGTTTGGAAATAAAAGTCTAGCACTAAAACCTCAGTATGCCTAAAGGCACGGAAAAAAGAGTCCTTTACACTATGAAATATGTCACATTTAACATGAACTTATCAAACCGAATAAGTTCAAATAAAATAAAATAAAGGATCTCTTTTTATGCCATAAGGCACACTGTACTAGTCAAATATTTGTATAGACCAACTGATGCTCACTTTCTCTGTGGTCAATAACAACGCTAGCTGCTTTTATGTCCACAAACATTTTCTGGTAACCTGCTGTACTCCACGGTGGGTGAGGGACAGACACAGACATTTTCTGGTAACCTGCTGTACTCCACGGTGGGTGAGGGACAGACACAGACATTTTTACTGGTAACCTGCTGTACTCCACGGTGGGTGAGGGACAGACACAGACATTTTCTGGTAACCTGCTGTACTCCACGGTGGGTGAGGGACAGACACAGACATTTTCTGGTAACCTGCTGTACTCCACGGTGGGTGAGGGACAGACACAGACATTTTCTGGTAACCTGCTGTACTCCACGGTGGGTGAGGGACAGACACAGAAATTTTTACTCCTACAAGAGTCAGATAAAAAGAACACTTTTACATGGAACAACACAGGAACTGACAAACACTTGTATGCATCACTACATAGCAACTACTGTGTCCAAAAAGTGGAAGCTCTGATGGTCTTGGATCAACAACAAGCCTATTTAATCAACTTATCTTCTATCCAGTGCAACAGTAATCACACATGTAAAAACTGACAAAAACATCAGTGTATAATCACTACAGCAACTCTATTAATCAAGGCAATTTAACAATAAAATACACAACACCAATTCTGTGAGCTCTCTGTTTCCATGTCAGCATCTGTCATAATTTTGACATTCCAGGTCTGATTTAGCTATGGGTGATTTGCTAGAAGAACTATCTCTGGCAATCCGACAAAAATGTGAGTACTGACTGTTTAGGGAGCAGTGGCAAACTAAAATTGCCAAGTAAAATCACACAAAAAAACAGCATATGCTGCAATAGCGAAAGATAGAATGATTTGGAGTGCGTTGGTTGAGGCCTATGCTCCACAGGGGGTTAGAAAGGCAGAAGAAGAATGTTGCTGGCCTCTGCACTCTCAGTGGCCTATACAAATATAGGGTAGCATGAATTGCTGGGGCGTCACTAGTTTGAAATGGATGATTTGCTTTAAAATAATTTTGTACTTTATTTCTCCGTACCTTATCAGGTCCCTTCTACAGTCAGAATAACCTGTAGCTAATGAATTCTTTTAACAAATATACAAATATCCATCACTTAAATGTTACTCTGTTTCTTCTTCTTCTTCTTTGCGTTCAGCAGCTGTAAACTTTGGCAGAAAGTTCTGTTGGTCGTCTACTTCTGGACCTTTTTGTCTTGTTCCAGGACCTGAATTTTGCACGCACATCCATTTGACAGATTTAGATTTTTAGTATGCAGACTGTTGGTCTTCCTGTTTCTCAGGCTGATGCACTCTGACATCGAAGGAAATACCTAATTAGTCGACTCTTACGACATGCGTGTTCGGCAGGCAGTGGGTCTATTCTTTAAAAAAATTTTTTAGATGACCCTGTTTCACCATAGCCTTCTTTTTTACCATCAGTTACCACTTGTTAGTGTGGTACCAGCAGTTACCACTTGTCAGTGTGGTACCAGCAGTTACCACTTGTCAGTGTGGTGTAGTACGGGGTGTCTTTAGCATGGGGATCTGCAGCTGCATGGCTAACACCCTCACCTCAGTGCAGGTTCTTTTATTTGTGCTCATATTTGGAACCTAGGTCTCCCAAATGACATCCCTGTGTACTTAACTACTTGGCCAGATACAAATCTTTACCAGAGTAAACGTAAATTTTAATTACTGTATTTCCCTAAGTATAAGACATTACCATGTATAAGAGGCACCTTAATTTTGGGGCCGTAAATATGGAAGAAAAAAATAAATAATATGCTACCACTGTATAAGATGATAAATGTTTTTAGACTATATTTATTTGCACACAAAAACACAAAAAAGTAACTTATACTTGGGGAAACACAGTATTTAATTCTATTATGGGCAAAAAATTGTCCAGTCTGTTGTCTGTAGCTTCTTTGTTCATTTTTACAGCAGGCAAACATTGCTTTAATTAAGTCAGTCACTGAGATGAATGGATGTGGGGGAAAACTGCAGCAACAAACCTGAATGCTGAAGAAGAAGATCCCATTCCCAATAAAATAAAATATTTAACATCTCATTTCTCTAATCAACATCTTATTTCTCTAACCGGTATCTCACTTTTCTAAACAGCATCATTTCTTTCTAACCAGCATCAATTTTTTCTAATTCTAATTCTGTCAATATGTTTAGCATTTTTTCTAAGAAGCCCTATTTTCACCCCTACCAGGTGTTTGTTGGTATGCTTAGTGCCCACATTTGGCTGAAGTTAGTTTCAATCAACAAATTACTAAACCTAGTTAAAATGTAAAGTATCATTATAAAAGCCAGATATTTAATGTAATCATAGTCAAAACAGACGTGTATAATAGTTTTTGAATAAAATACAATGTAACTATGTTACACTTGAAATAAAAAAGGCACCACAACAAATGAAGTCCTGTTCCTGTAAAGGCACAGTGTCCGGAACAATAACAGCAGCAATGGTGATGTGTGTAAAACCCACTAGTCGAAAGTATTAACATTTTAAATGACATTAACATAAATGTATATATATATATATATATATATATATATAACACACTGAAAGTATTACTGATTTCTTCACTGCTTGAACTGCAGCAATGTTAACATCTGCATCCTGACGAATCTGCCTCATTGTTCAATCTTACTTGGCCAGGGTTTGTATTGTTTAACTGTTTCGCAATCATTTTTTGAGCTAGAAATGAAAGCCAGAATCATTCCTTTAGCTGAATGTGAATTATAAAGTAATTTACATGGAACACACCTCTTCATACAGACTACAAAAACACTTCAGTCAGACTCACAATTCATATGAACACAAATTATTGATCTGTCTAGGACAATCACAAAACAAAAACATCAAATGCTCGTTAACTGCTAACTTCTAACAAAATCACATTCTGTTTTTTAATATTCATGAGGAAATTAAAAAAAGACAATACATGGAGTAGAAAGCTAGAGAGTGAAATGAAAAAGATGGGGAGGACACGAGAAGAGCTGCAGGCAATAGCAAAGGATAAAATGACGGCATGGTTAAAGGCCTATGCTCCACTAGGGGTTAGAAAGGAAGAAGAGAAAATTTTTTTAATTTAAAATAAAATTTCTTACCAATCATCATGAACATTTCATTTACTGCATGGCCACTTTTTGCTGAACATTCTGCAAAAATCAACCCATTTTCTTCAGCAAACACTCTGGCATCCTGCATTAAGAGATTAAATACAATTAGACATCAGTTATGTCAACTAGTATGTTCTATAATAACATGTTTTCCTTATAGACAGTGATCAATTCTCACTAATTATTTGCCTGCCACTCTGATGGCATAAATGTTTCTTTTAACATTGTTTCGTATACACTTGTGTAAAACAACATTAGAGGCTAAATTTCCTGATGAAAAATTAGGCAAAAGTGAAAATCTAATTTAAAAACTATAACCAGGAGCTCCAATATAAATAAATATTGGGTTCAGGAGATGTTTATGTTCAACGGATCAACATCATGGCCTGCGGTTGTAACCCATAAGTGCTCTGTTCTTCTACTAACTCAAACCTGAGTCGAAGATTCTCAGTGCAGTGCACAAACTCTGTTGCACCCGCACGGATCCTGAAATACTTTGGGAAAGGGGAGGAGGAGGCAGCTATACCACTTACAAACTTCCACAGAGTGGGGAGGGGTCTTCAAGGCGTTAACACCTCACTTTATTTCACATGTGATAATTTCCTTTAGTGAAGTGTAGACAGAGATCAAGTTTTAACATTGGTACAATTTTTTACTGGCCAGAGAGAAATGTGACTTCTATCAGAGATATGTCAGTTGAGTGATTTTGCCAACTCTTGTTTGTACTTGTCGTATTGCTGATTTTTGTAATATGCTGATTAGGGCTTCCTGGCCACAATGTTCTCATGTTGCTTGTGTTATAGTAGAGTTGACTGCTTCTCTTCTTGTTTTGTTTTATATCTTTTTATGATAAGTTTAACACTGATAAGATAGTAAAGATAAAAGATAATAGCCATACAGTGTGGTCTTCTTTTGTCTTTCATCTTTACTGGAGATTATGTACAACATTTAACATGCTTTACACTTTTATGGAAATAAAAAAAAGCATCTCCTGTTAACAGCTCAACAGGGGCAAGCAAACTATGGACTGTGGGCTAAAACTGGCCCTTGAGAAATTTTTATCATCTCGCGAAGCTGGTGTAAAATTACCAACTTAACAGTGATAACTGCTTTTGCCAAATCTTTGATTTTGCTAGTGAATCATGTGTTGCCGACAAACTTAGACATCATCAGGAGACAGTCCTGTCCCCTGGCTGGCAAGTTTATAAATCAAAAGAGTGCAGTAACCTTTCTATATTATTCTACAAAAAGGTCAGGTTACAAGGAAATCTGCGTGTTAGGTTTATAATAGATGTTTGTCTATATGGCCCATGACCAGGTTGGTAATTCAAAATTAGTCCAGTAGACCCTTTGCCCACCTCTGAGCTACAACCTGCCTACCTCTGTTTGTACTGCTCGATGTTCTGAAGCTAGATCCAGTTTGTTGCCTGCCAGCACTATCAGAATGTTGCCTGTTGTCTGCTGTCTGAGTTCATCAATCCATGAGACAGCCCGATCAAATGTGTTCTGAAGATAATGATAAGACTCATGAGGACAATGTAACAGGTTATTCATATCAGGTAGCAACCACCAACAAAAATAGGAAGCTTGTCTTTTTAAACCAATGGTAGAAGATTTTATCTATGAGGTAAGTCTGAAATTTAATTTGGGCAGTGGGCCTGAGAATGTATCTGGGTAGTGGGTCTAAGATTTTATCCAGGCAGTGGGTCTGAGATTTTATCTGGGTAGTGGGTCTAAGATATTATCTGGGTAGTGGGCCTGATATTTTATCCAGGTAGTGGGTCTGATATTTTATCCAGGCAGTGGGCCTGAATATTTTATCCAGGCAGTGGGCCTGAGATTTAAACTGGGTAGTGGGTCTGAGATTTTATTTGGGTAGGGGGTCTGATATTTTATATGGGCAGATTTAAACTGGGTAGTGGGTCTGAGATTTTATTTGGGTAGGGGGTCTGATATTTTATATGGGCAGCTGGTCTGAAATTTTAAACAGGCAGTAGGTCTGAGATTGTATCTGGAGAGTGGGTCCGATATTTTATCCACGCAGTGGGTCTAGGATTGTATCTGGACAGTGAGTCTGAGATTGTATCTGGGCAGTGGGTCTGAGATTGTATCTGGACAGTAGGTCTGAGATTTTATCTGGGTAGATTTTAGAACTAGGTACCATAGTGTCACCTTTTTTTTTGTGATTCATTTTCCAATGGAAGATCGGCTCCTTAACCAACTCATGCTAAAGCTTTTGTAAACTTGCCTCACATTAAACCACCCTTAGTTGCCTTTATGAGCTACCCAGTTGGTTATTAAGTAAGTAAAGGTATTTTTTTAAAAATGCCAGTAGCACATTTGGCATGTGGATTCATGTAACATAACACCAGTTGCCTTTACTTCTCAGGACATTACCTGGTGCCCACTCAAGGCTGTGGCAACTTGGGAACCAAGGTCATTTTTAAAAATCCTGCACAATTCAGAGTTGAACCCAAGATCTTCGTCTGGTAGATGAGCATCTATATGCTAGACTACCACAGTGCCCACATACCTGGTTACAGTGTTACTATTTGTTACTTTCCTTATCAGTTCCAGTAATACACAGTCAAGGGTACTGAGTGTTTTTTTTTTTTTTTTCACACCATACCATACAAGGATTAAACAAAAGATAAATACATGTCAAAAGTGGGTGTGGCCATCTTTGAATTGTTATGATGTTACTATATTTGTCTTCACCACGATGCTATGTGGTTAACACTCCCAAAGGGCTCTTGTCTTACATCAATTCACCACCAAGCTGTGAAGAACCAGTCAGTCTATCTGCCTGTTCATTTCCCACCACACCTGGAGAAATATCCAAAGGAAGGTAACTACTGAACTTTCCCCAAACATACAAACTTACAGCATTGTTAACATCGTATACCACAATTGCAGCCTGGGCTCCTCTGTAGTACATGGGTGCCAAGCTGTGGTACCTCTCCTGGCCGGCAGTGTCCCAAATGTCCAGCTTGATATTCTTTCCCTGAACTTTAACAGTCTGTGTAAGGAAAGCAGCTGGGGAAGGTATGAGAGTGAATTAGGAAACTGTTATAAATAATAACATATGCAAATTACATAAGAGTTTTACTGTCTTCTTCTTCTACAGTGTTCATTCAAAGACAATGAGTTGTACCTCTCTAACTAAGCATGGCTGTAACTTTTTGCCTTTCGGTTTGATACATCCATCTTCTTCGGGCATTTATTTTCTGGGATGGCCTTCCTAGGAGTTTAATTTTAGATGTGTATTTCTTTCCCTGCGACTTCATCTTGTGACTCCAGATTTGTGCATGCTTCTTAACAATTCTTTTGTTTAATCCTGCCTAGCTTGTTAATATACATTCCATTTGTTTGTAATAAGGTCACTGGGACAGATTTTATTTGATAAAGGACATAAAAATAGCTACAAACTAATGCCCTCACAAGAATACCACTGGGCTGACAGGAGTTAATTACCAGAATGTCAGCAACAATAACAATTATCTAATTTCATGCCACTGCAAGAGATCTTCTTCTTCTCCTTTGTTCATCTGTGACGTAATGGCTTTGTGCCTGTTTACAGCATGGCTGTGATACTGGTGCCTTTCGCCCGACATATCCAACGTCATGGGACATTTGTTCACCAGGTTAGTCTTTTGAGTTGATTTGTGGGACATAGCTCACATTTGTGAGGTATACTTTTGGTGCCTTTATCTACAGGTGTAGCACCTGGAAAGCCCATTCAAAGCAACCACATGTGGCTGGCTGGTCCTTAAGGAAAAGCAGAGGCAGATCATAGGTATTTGCCATCATCCTCAGAGGCTTCCATAAATGCAGAACCGTTATATGATGCTCTGGCCTGAGCTCACCCAAGGAATCATCCCATCTGCACATGACTGCTTGACTTCACATTCATGTATTGAGCTTTGGGTACTCATCTATTTTGGAGATCAGCCTGCAGGTCCTGGACTTCGATGACCACACAATACAAAAGAAGCAGTTACCATCTATAAATTTCTCCCTCTGTCTCTAAACGCATGTGCTCTTTCTGGCTATCCCAACCCTCTATCTCATAAAAATGTGTGTGTGAAATCTTCACAATAGAGGCTGTCTACAGTACTTATGTGCATCCACTGTTGCCTCTGGGAATATTATTTGAAGAGGTACCAGTCTCTTCCATTGTGAGACACTCATTAACAATATGCATTGTCTTCTTTTTTCCCCCCTCCTTAATACACAGCCTAGGGAGATGAATGGTCATAGACCATGAGGCAGACCAAGAAGACGATGGAGAGATAATGTCAAGACAGACATGCAAACATTTGGTGTCACCAACTGGAAAGAGAAGGCTAACCAAAGAGATGAATGGAGGCAGGTGATATCTGAAGCAGTGAACCTCAAGGGCTCGGAATGCTGAAGCAGAAGAAGAAGAACAAGAACACACGGCAAAAAAAAATAATTTTTTTAAAACCTGGTATATCAAAAATTTTGAAATGAGCTCAATAATCTCTAAGCCGCAGAGCCACACATTCTCTTATAATGTGACAATAACAATTAAGATGTCCTGTTCTTATGTGAAAAACAAAATGCTTTTTTGCTTAGGAAGAATTCTGTTTCACTGTCTTTCTTTAAATATCTTTAGCTCTTTGAACATTAACCTTCCCAGTCTTTTACAATGTGTGCTCTAAAGTTTATTGTGACTGCACCAGTCATGCCGCCTCAAATCCTTAGGCTTACCCCCAGTCCCCTGCATGCACACACACACTACCCAAAAAAGTGGTAAATAGGACCAGTAAAGACACTTCTCTTGATTTAATACTACACACACACAACTGACTACTTCTCTCTCCTCTATTGAAGTAAAGCTATGTAATCTTCATACCAGTGTTTCTCAACCTTTTTTGTGCCATGTCCCACCCTAAGCCTTTCTAAAATGCGTATGCCCCCTAAATAACCTAAATAACGCACTGGACAAGTCCATTTTTGAATTGCTCCCCTCAACAATCAAATTGTTCCCAGTAACAATAAAATTGTCCCCCCTTAACAATCAAATAGCTTCCCTTAACAACCTCTGTTATGCCTTGTCCAAGATCAGACTAAAAATAGCAGACGTCATCAAGACAAATTAGTGTCAACCATAACACTGATATCTGGAGACTAAATTACCAGTTGTTGGTGATTTGTTTCATTTGTGTTTTCTGACACTAATTTATGCTCATAATTTTACCAAAATCTTGTTAATAGCGCTGTGTTAATTTTTCTTTTTGTTCTACTTTTTTATAATCACATTGTTTATTGTTTACTGCTGGAGGGGTCCGTGTCATACATTTTTTTGAGATCATGTATCCAAAATTTCTGTCCCTTTTAGGATGAAATTTTTCGTTATTTGAAGCCCTACTCTAGCTTTTGCCAGGGGCCGCAATACAGCCCAGCCATAAATATGGCCTAAAGGCTGAACGCGGTTTCTAGGACCTCTTCACGGTGATCCTCACCCACATAGTGGCACTTTGTGTCATCGGGTGTTTATCGCTTGTGTGATGTCCTGGTGGGGTAGAAAGTCAGTCAGTCAGTGCCATACATTCAAGGGGTTGCCATCTGAAAAGGTTTGAAAACCTCTGCTTTGGGTCACATTCCTGTGAGATAAATGTAGCCTTGACACATAAACAACAATCCCCACAGAGTCAGGAGTTGAAAATGTATCAGGTGATAACTACACAGATACCGATAACACAGTTTAAACGACACATAATATAGCAGGAGATGTGTTTATATCAAAGAAGCGTCACATACATTCTATGTGCTGACTGCATACCCATACAACATCCTGGAACAACAACAGCATCTTTTCTTCTTCTTTCTAATTTATTCACCGGCTGTAAGCTGGGGCAGAAAGTCCTAGTTTTTCGTCCACCTGGACTTTGGCTTTGTGCAGGGGGTCTGAGTTTTGTGTGTACATAAGTTTTACTGACTTATTGATCAGCATCATGCCAGTTGCCATGACTTTACTTTGGCACCAATTTAAGGCTGGGTCGACCATGGAACCAGGGTCATTTTTGGATAAAAAGTCTGGCTCCATCAGGATCTGAAACCCATGACCTTGGATCCGCAAGCAAGCGTCTAACCACAAAACCATGGCGGCATCACCCACCCCCCTAAAAAAAAAACCTCAGCAAGATACAAAAGATCTCAATAAAAAGATGGCAGCTGCAGTAAGAAAAGGAGTGTTAACCCTTTTACCCCATGAAATCCTTTAAAACTTCCTTTTTTTTTTTTAAATTTTGTTAAAAAGAAATGCATTTTTATAATTCTCTGAAAATCTACCCAAAGAAATTTGAAGAGGAAGCAGAAGAAATGTTGAGTTTGGGTAAATTTTTTAACTAAAAAATCCTGGTTCTTGAAACCTATCACTGATGCAAGCAAGCGTCTAACCACAACACCATGGCGGCAATAAACCCCCCCCCCCCCCTCCAAAAAAAAAACCTCAGCAAGATACAAAAGATCTCAATAAAAAGATGGCAGCTGCAGTAAGAAAAGGAGTGTTAAACCTTTTACCCCATGAAATCCTTTAGAACTTCCTTTTTTTTTTTTTTTTATTTTGTTAAAAAGAAATGCATTTTTATAATTCTCTGAAAATCTACCCAAAGAAATTTGAAGAGGAAGCAGAAGAAATGTTGAGTTTGGGTAAATTTTTTAAACTAAAAAAATCCTGGTTCTTGAAACCTATCACTGATGCAAGCAAGCGTCTAACCACAACACCATGGCGGCATCCCCCCCCCCCCAAAAAAAAAAACTTAGCAAGATACAAAAGATCTCAATAAAAAGATGGCAGCTGCAGTAAGAAAAGGAGTGTTAACTCTTTTACCCCATGAAATCCTTTAAAACTTTTTTTTATTTTGTTAAAAAGAAATGTATTTTTATAATTCTCTGAAAATCTACCCAAAGAAATTTGAAGAGGAAGCAGAAGAAATGTTAAGTTTGGGTAAATTTTTTACACTAAAAAATCCTGGTTCTTGAAACCTATCACTGATGCTCCAAGTCACTAAAAAATGGATTTTGCATATTTGGAATGATTATTTTGTGCAAGGTAAATTTGGGGGGAGGGGGGGGGGTTAAAAAAGTAGTAAGGACCCCTTTCCACGCCTTAGGCGTATAGGGCATATAGGGCTAGACCTATATTCTTATAGACCAACGGCACAAGATGGGTGATGTGGTCAGCATCACGCCGGCCGCCTCTCTAATTCCCGGGATTGCACCCTGGGTACCCAAAAAAGGCTGGGTCGACCTGGGAGCCAGGGTCATTTTTAAGAAAAAATCCGTCCCGCCAGGGAGCGAACCCACGACCTTCCGATCCGCAGGGGGGGGGGGGGGGGGGCAGTAAATACAAAAGCAGCAAACAAATAACTCATTTCCTTTCCTTTGAGCAAGAAAACAAGGGTTTTGTTGAAATAGCCTCCGACAGTGAAGTCATGTCATCATAAGTTTATTATGATGTCACAATGATAAAAAATAGCATTTTTTCAAAAGTAATATCTCCAAAAAAAATTGTTTCTTTGAGGGGAAAAAAAAAGTCCCAAATAGAACTGCATTGTTACATGCAAGTGAGATATGGAATATAATAAGACAAGCTGAAATACATTTACTTGCAGTGAAAATGTGGTTTTTGAGAAAAATGCAAAGAATATCATGGAATATTGGAAAAACAAAAGAAGAGTTCTCCATGAGGCATCTGATTATAGAAAGAATTGGCAGTATATGAGAAGGAGTGGACTAGAAAAACCTGGTTACAAGTGGCAAGACTGATGGGAAAAAAAGGAGGAGGAAAACTTGGATTTCTTGAGCATATGGATGGGGTGAGACAAGAACACTGTCCTAGTCTATGATTCTAGTGATTACATGAGAAGGTAAAAAATGAAATTTTTCTGTATAGCACATGATAATGATGATGCTGATTGCTTCTGGCTAAGTTTCTAATTCTTCACAGGCTTTGCCCTTTGGGAACAAGCAGACAGTGCGGAGGAGCAGATAGATCATTACGGTCTAAGGAGAATAGCGCTGAAAGGAGTTACCAGGGGATCTAGCCGAAGCTCAACACTCAGTGGAAGGATGAGACGGATATACAATCAGACAGTTATCGGAATTTGAACTCTTTGCTTGCTGTTGAAGATGGGGACAGAGCACCTATGGGAGTGTATCGAGTCCTGTGATGTCGATTCTAAATTCAACATTCACAGACTTTATCATCATCATCAATCAGTAGGTCCTCTACAGAGTGTCGCTCATGTTAGGCAGGCTGAAATTCTCTCTTTCTCTACCCAATTCTCAAGAGAAAGATGTGCAAAATGAAGACCTGGAGAGAGAACAGGAGGAGGAGCAGGAGGAGGAGAAAAAGAAGATGAAGAAGAAAGAAAGTACATACCCCCAATAGTAGTCTCACAGTGGGTGGGAAACTGACCACGTGCAAATCTCAAAGCCAAACTAGACTTGCCGACACCTGTATCTCCAAGGAGCACCAACTTGGCTTGTGGCATCCTTCCAACACCTGGAGCTCCAGCGGTGGTCCCAGAGTTGCGATGATCTCCACTCATGGTCGAGAGTCACACACTAGACAAGGTTAACTTCTCTCTACAAATTAAACAAACTGTTTCTTGTTTCAATATAGCACTTGAGGTTCCCACTTGACCATTCAACTGTTACAGTCATGACCAAAGTACTGAATCCAATGTTTACTGCAGCTGTGTATTCTGAAATTGTATTCAACAATTACAATGTGATTACAACAACTGAGATCCTATGAAAGACTCTTATCTCTCTGAAACCCAGTGGGTTTAGCATCACAGGCCCAAGAGGTAGTAAAGATAGACATAAAATCGGTGTATTGTGCTTTAATTGGGCTTCTAGGCATGAACCTAGAATGCACTCCTTGGGACTCAAAGAGTTAAATACCAAGAAGAGATTAGATCAGAAATGATTTAACCCAAGGAATGTTTACTATTCTGTACTACATTTTGTGAAGTAAAAATTCAGCGTACATTTGACATTATGAATGTTTTTCAGATTTATTTTATATACTATACATAATTTGTATTCGGCTGATTAGTTGGTCCCATTATTTGTATTCGGCCGAATAGTAGTAATCATTTATTCGGTACAGCTCTAATATAAACCGAATCCAGTCCAGCACCTCTAACCTCTCTCATCATTTGTCTTCAGGTGTCTTTTGCACACCTGCACTTCCTCAGTCATTTTATTTCCTATTTTGGTGCTTGCTTGGTTATTCTCTGTTCATTTCTTCTCAGAATGTGTTCAATATAGTGCCATCTTCTTTGTCTAGTAACTGTTATTACCATTGATTTCCCTAAATATTTCTCTTCTTTCTTCACCCCTCTTGAATTCATCCTATTGTATGTTTAAAAAAATGTCACTGGATATCACCTGGCAATAAATTTTGGCTCTCCTTCGATATTATGGCAGCCAAACAAATACCCTAACAGGGCCTCAGTCATGTGTAAAATGTGGAGTGCCTGCCGAGGAACAATTCGTAGAAAAACTAGGATCGCCTCCGAATAACGGACCAATATTATCGAGGGTCTCAGCGATATGTGAATTGCGGACCTGTTTCTGCAATTATGCGGCACTGCATAATGAACGTTCCTTGGGAGTTAATGTAGTAGTAGTAACTACTGCTTTTAGCAATAGTGTAGCAGCTTGATGTTCGTCTTTCAGGCTGAAGGTCTTGGGACCAAGTCCACATTTGAGTCATTGTTTTTCTTCTTCCAAAAATGATCTTGGTTTCCACGTTGACCTAGCCTGAGTGGGTGCCTGGGAAAAGCGAGGTAGGTAAAGCCAAAGGAGGTAGACGTGATTTTGACCACATTACCCACTGAGTGCCAGTTTATCTAAAAAAATATTAGTCTAGCATCTCATATGATCGTTACGCTCTAAGCACTAACTTAGTACTACTACTATGCAAAGATTAAAAAAAAAAAAAAAGTGAATGAGATAAAAAGTTAAGGGACAAGTGAAATTTAAGTCTTAGTATTATTAGCACAATAAAATGAGTACTAGTACCTAACGATTGAAAAGTATAAAAAAATTTAACAATTTATTTTAAATCCATAATCTTCTCTTTGGTATTAGGTAATTTTTTTTTTTTTTTTAATATTTTGTAATTTTGAAAATAATTTTCAGCGAAGTTAAGTTTTCACTGTGGATTGTTGCTTAACTATATGATACAGAACTTTCAGACAGTTACAAACTCACGCTTTTTAACGAATATGATCTCGTGGTGTTAATAATAAATAAGATCCCTTTACAGCCTGTGTATAAGGGGTATAGATACTTTAAATCATCAAGCAGAAAGTATTGCCCTGTCAAAACACAAGCAGAACTGGTTCCGTCTCTTCACAACTTCCGCCTATCATCCTTGACCTCTGAACCCTACTTAGAGACAAGCCTGTTATCATTACTAAGATCCGTGAAGACTAACCACCTGTGAAATGAGATGTTTGAGAATGGCTGCGAATAAAACCAGAAGAGATCGAGTGAGAAACGATGTGATTACAAGAACTATTGGAACCATACCCATCGTTAAATTTATTGAGAAGCAAAGAATGAAATGGTTTGGTCACCTAATGAGAATGGAACCAACGATGCCAGCATCAAGAGCATACAACATGAAAATCGAAACACCAAGAGGCAGGGGAAGACCAAGAAGAAGATGGATTGAAGGAGTCACGGACAACTTGAGACTTCATAACATCACGGCACATGAAGCGACTGAGCGCGCCCTGGCTCGGTTGCCGATCATCTGATAGACTGCGACGCCTAGCGGCACAAGCAGATTTTGACAAGAAAAAAAAAAAAAAAAGTGTATGGTGGCTTTACGGTAAGAGTTGGATACCGAATGCGTGCCAGGACGCCGATACACAAAAAAACATTAGAAAGGTGGCCTCAAACACTTTACACGTTATATAAATGATTGACCGGGAAAAGGGGGGGGGGGGGGGGTAGGATGTGATATGTTGCTATCTTTCATGGTACGTTTTAGTTTAAGTGTTTTTTTAACAACACAGAATATAACTAGAGGCACCTTTTGGGGCCTTATTTTGACAAAATTTCCGATGAGACATATCATGATCAGTACCTGTACCGTTTGTTTCTATGAAGAAGAAAAAGCCACTGCCTAAAAAAAAGCAATGTATGAATCAAGAATAGACATCCTTGCAGGTGGGACATTGCTACATATGCTCCGTCTCCTCCCTCAGTAGCCAACCAAGAGTCGACATGCTTACAGTGCCAGTTGCAACCCTAGTAAAAGTACGCCTAGTTTCCCTTAGAAGAGCTGAAGATCTTCCAGAACCTCTGCTCATCCCAAATTAGTTTTTTTAAAGGTCTGTTCTGTTGCATCCACTTTATCATAAAATAGCTCACCGCCTAGCGGCACATCAGCAACCAATCTATCAGGCTGTTCGTTACTCCACACACGCGGAGAAAGGAGCAGCTTGATTCTCTTGAACGGACAATCCACAATATGCTCCTGATCTGTATCTAATCAAACGACGCCAGCCACTCTGGGCAGAAAATGCCAGTAACTATTTTCTGAAGCATGCTCTGATAGTCCGTTATAATTACAAGATATCGAGCTGTGCTGTCTTGAAGCTAGTGGAAAGCTGCCGTTAGCACTTCCACCTCCATTATCATACTGGGAATTGTGAGTTTATACTCGAAGCTATCTGTTTTCCAATTGTCCATTCACCTTACCTCGTCAACGCTTTTTAACCTCTCACTACAAACCCATCTGTGTATATAATGATGTCACTTGAGGGTGGATTTTTAATCGATCAACAGTTGTACGGCTATCAATTCCCGATATTCCAGGTCCAAAGTAGCTACAACTCTGTGTAGGGCTGTTTTGCTGGGCGACACCGTGACCCATTCCTCACCCTGCGTTTCTTGTTAGCAACAAAACACTTCTCTAACAGTCCTCTGCCTGTACCAACCACATTTTTACCTGTTACACCTTATACTTTTCATATACGGACAGCAATACAATTAAGTGCTGCATGCACACGATTGAGGTGTCTTGTGAACATCCCCAAATCGCACATGGCTTCATTTTGCCTGCTTTCCAGCTTCCTAATTTGAGTGTGAGATAACGTGAGCAGTGCCAACCCATTACTTCATCTCTGAAATAATCCGTTGCTGGCAGTGTGTACAACTCTTTTCTTTGGTTCCATGTCCGCCATGACACACCTCCAACACATTGTCCTTTCCTGATCTTTAACACTACCTTTTCAACATGGTACTTGGAAGACAGGCTTAAGTCAAACGTTACTCCTTAATTCTCTCTCTCTCTCTCTCTTCTCTCTCTCTCTCTCTCTCTCTCTCTCTCTCTCTCTCTCTCTCTCTCTCTCTCTCTCTCTCTCTCTCTCGGTTGTGATTACCATTGCTAAAACTAGCTAATTGGGCTGCTAACTCATTGTCCATCAATGTCATTTGCAATGCTGCTTCTTGTTGCTTGGTAACTGCGTGCGCCGCCAATTCCTTGTCTTTCAATGTCATTCCTTGTTTTAAAGAGCTTCTGTGGCTAACTCTTTGTCTATAGCTTGTCTATAGCTTCAATTTTGTTTACCTTACTTTGAGCTTCTAATTCGAGCTTCCTCAACCCTCTCTCGTCAGCTCCGTCTTGTCTCTTGTGCTAATCGGCATACTTCTTGTCCGTCCATTCAAGCACTTTCTCCCCAATCAAACCATGTTGTCTGGCCATCTCGATGAAATAGGCAAGACTAGACATCTAGCAAAAGTGCAGCATATACAGCAAGTCAGTAAAACCTTTCCATGAAAAAAAAAAAATAATAATAATAAATAAATCACAAGTAGCAACAAACCAACTGTTTACCCACGAAAGAAAAAAGATAAAACTTACACGTGGCAACTACGGAATCTAGAGACCAAAATTATAGCAGTAATAAAAAAAAATATTCAATATTTCAACAAAGCAGTGAGGAATAAAAAAAAAAAAAAAAAAAGAACATTACTTTTGAAACAGTTGGATTGTTCTATGTCAGAATAGGAAATGGATCCCCGAAACTTATACGTTGCAATTTCTAGAATGTAGTTGGATGAAATGTGTACTAAAAAAAAAAAAAAAACTATATTTATTACACAATTAAACTTCACTGATGTAGACAAAATTCACAGACGAAAACACCTATGAAAAATGAATTTAGCTATGAGTATGATGCCAAATACACAAACGATAACGTACTGTTCAGTAAGCACATATATGTAAGAAAGCACAACGATTAAACAATGACTCATTACCAACAAGTCGCTACTAGCATATACTTTGACTGTAGACCCAGATAGATGCACAACGAGTTGCAGACGAGACTAGAATCAAAATATACCTGACACGCACTCGTGTGTTTCCCTATAATTTTACACAAATAAAGGAGAACAAACGTATAGCCCAAACCAACCTCCCACGATAACAATGTAATGATGACTAGGAAAGACGAGAAATAAAAAGACAATGAAAGGTGCCCATGTCCCAGTACAACTTTGTGGAACCCTTGAGGACTAG